AAACCAGTTTGTTTCAGCACTGGGTTTTGAGGGGGCTTGGCTTCACATCACTCAATTCTTATCTTAACAAGATGAATATAACAAAGATTCTTTTCGTTCGTTTTTGTTTAGGTGGATTTGAATAAGAGAAAAATGATATTCCTGGAAAGTCAGAATATAAAGTACTTTAAGAATTATCCAAGGACCTTTTTAACCTGCTCTGGTCGCTTTAGTCTAAATGTGCACCCTAAATTGATATTGAAAAGCAATAATTATTATCCACTGTTTCATTATGATTTTAATCCTAAAGTTTACCTGAATCCACTTTTTATCATACTTTTATTGTGTTGATGTTCCTTTAACTGCTTTCTCTGGTCACATCTGTATATATCATTGATGGAATGATTCTAAACATGTCATATTTTCATTCAGATTTTCAACATCACTATTCACATTTTCATTCAAATAACATTTTATCTCCTTGAAAATCACAGAGTTGTGTTGGATTACAATTAAATCTTACAAAATTAGAAAAAAATTATATAAAAGATATTCTGTAGAGGCAATTTTGTTCCCTTTTGGAAATAGATTCTTAAACGTATAGCTACATATTATGTTTTATATCTTAATGACAAATGTTCAGMAAATATTGGATATGGAAGAARAAATATTATGCTTTTTAAAATAATGTTATCTGCTTATTCTTTGGCTGTAATGTAGCTGGCACACTGCATTTGGGGCTGTCTATGTGTGTTTTTTAAAATGTCATCTTTATTAGTATTACATTCAAGGAATAGTACCAGGAATCTGTTCTTTCAAGACCTTCCTCCAGTGTGTGGCATATAAGTCTGTGAYGAGCGACATTACAGAAGGTCATGTCACTTTTAACTGCTTGCATTACATCTTTCTGATTTCCCTAGTGCCCTTCCTTTGTTTGATTAATACTACTTGCTTTCAAGCAAGGTATCAGAAAGCATAATTTGGAAAGAGAATTCCAGAGCTGGTCTGAGATATTCCCTTTTAAGAAAAAACAAAAAAAAACCCTGAACTTTGCAAACGTATCTTTTCTACCACCTGAATTTTTTGTCATTCCTTTCATCTTTCCCCCTGTAAGGAAGTGTGTGTGTGTGTGTGTGTGTGTGTGTGTGTGTGTGTGTGTGTGTTATTAAATCATTGCTGACAAATGTTTGGGCAATTGGACTTGCAATATTTGAAAACAAAACTATGTCATTCTTATTTGGTTTTATTTGGAGAGGAAAGGGCTTGAATTTGAGAGTAGGTCTCCTGTATTTTTATTTGTTTTCCTAAGTTAAGTGTTAAATTCCAGTACTCTCTTTTTAAGTAGCAGGTGTTAAGTTCTCTAGGAAAGATTACATTTTATGCAGTCATTAAATGCACTTCTGTGACATATACAGGTTTGTTTTGTTTTTGTTTTCTTTCTCAGTCCTGGGATTGAACCCAGGRCCTCATACACGCTAAGCAGGCACTCTACCACTCAGCTACATCCCCAGCCCTACACAGTTTATTTTTTAAAACACAGTTTGTGATTTCTATGTCCATTGCATTTGGCTGGAGCTCAAGTCTTAAAGCTCAGCTTCTGAGACACTCTTGCTCTCAGAGCTGTCCATTTCACTAGGCCACTAAAGCCTGAAAACTAGTTGTAAAAAAGCAGCATCATTTTAATTTGGAATCTTTACCCAAACTTCTTCTTGTGCCTGTATGTGTTTTCCTTATTTTCAGTGAAAACATGAATCAGAACTTTGTCATTGAGAACAAAAGATATTCTGCCCAGGTTAAAAAAAAGGATGCAATTTAATTTCCAAAAATCAGTGTTAAAATATTAATTTGATGTTATTTTATCAATAGCTAATATTTTTGAGAACTTCTTTTGATACAGGAACTGTGCTAAACACTCTACAGACATGATCTCCTTGGACTTTAATCAGATGATCAGGGCTTTATCATCTCCATTTCAAGGCAACTTAAGCTTCACCTGAAAAAAATATAATGGCGGGGGGGGGTGCATTCTGAAGCAGCTAAAAGGTATCAACAGGAAACGATCTGTATTATAAATCCGTACTTTTAGATGTTCATGATATAACATTAAGGAGGCACTAGAGGAGGGGAAAAGCCCTCACTAGAGCGCTAAAACACAACACAAAGGCCTCTCACTAACACAACACTTTTCTGCCAAATGTAAAAGCAAATGGTTGTATTGGGTGGTTCTGGCTGCACATTTGTGGAGCAATTGTGCGTAGCCAATTACCCACTTGTGCAGGGAAAGAACAGTTTGGGTTTTGCAAATGAAGAGCCTGATTCTGTAGGCTTCTTTGACTCATACTTGAACATAAGAGCCACAGCTGATTTACAAAGAGTGTAAATTACGCTAGTAGTTTGTTTTATGGTTCAATCATACTTGGAATTTTTAAAAATTAATTTGGCCTTAGTAGATATCCCCAGATCTTAAAGATTAAATATTCATGGGTTATATTTCCAGGAAAAAGTTTGAAAGCATTTTGAATATTTGCCTTTATTAAGTTGATTAGGTATAATTCTTTCGAAGTGAGCTAAGTCAGGTTTGTGAGATAAATGATAGGCACTTTACCAAAGAGTGTGTTCCAAGATATGAAGGATGGATGATGCAGTCATCTATCCACTAGATCAAAAAATATTTCTTGAACACCTATTATGCAATCTGCTAGATACAATTTGACACCATTCTGCCTTTGTAGTATCTGCAGTAGGATGCTAAGTACTGTAAGAGGAGGTATATGATATATTTTTAATAACTAGTTATATATAATACTTCTTGAGTTTAGTCAGAGGAATAAAAGGAGTAAAAGAATATTTTATTTTCTTTGACATATTTGATATGACTGCATGGATAGTTTTAGCAATAAAAAAACTTCATTTAAATCCAAAACTTTAAAGATAATTCTTTTGTGTATATACTTGGGGATTGAACCCAGAGGTGCTTTACCACTGAGCTACATCTCCAGTCCCTTTTATTTTTTAATGGAGACAAGGTCTCACTAAGTTGCTTAGGACCTCACTAAGTTGCTAAGGCTGGTCTCAAATTTTCAATCTCCCTGCTTTAGCCTCTCAAGTCACTGGGATTACAGGTACATGCCACCACATCCAGCACCTAAAGATAATTTTATTAGAAGTAGAAAATAATCATTTTTTWAAAAAATCTGGCAAGGGTTAGGTGAAATCTTGATGTAACACAATGCATTGAAACACTGTGGCTTCTTTTCCTTTCTAAACCTCCATCACAAATAGCCCAATAAGGAATAGCCTGGCATACATCTCCTCAATTACACATTGTCATTACTAATGTCTGTATATTTGTGATGCACATAATTCAGGTTAAAGAAAGTTAAAAATTAATATGATGGCTTATCTGCYGTTTACATTCCATAGAGCCTATATGAGGCTAGACAAGTACCTATGTGTTGTTTCTCTTTGTATTTTCAYATTACCTAGAATTGTGTGCCTTGGTTAAGGAGGTTTACAATAAATGCTTATGGAGTGGCTGAAAATAGTTAGAATATCAAGAGTTCGTATTTCCTGTTTAGGTCAACMACAATTCAAATTGCTTTATATGTTCCCAAAGTTGTATAAGCACTCAACATACATTGGAAAAAGTATGTTGGGCTACTATGATTCTTTTGAAGTGCTGATGTCAAAATGAAAGACCACAAAATCCTACTGTTGAACAGAAGATGTTATGTATGACATTAAATTAGAAATAATTTCACAGTTTTTAGATAGTTTAGTTTTATATTGGTTCATGAGACCTGGAAGTGTGTGTTTGGGTTTTTTTTTTTTWAAATCACTGAATGCTTTTTGAATATTTCAGAAAAATATTAGGAATAACTGAGAATTCAGATATGTCATCTCAGTTTATACAATCTTTGCATAATACTGTCTTGGTGAYTGAAATTTTCACTCATAAGCTATTCCTATTTATATCAAAAAGTCTCCTAAAAGAAGGACTAGTTGTCTTTATCTTCCAAAGTTACAAGCTTTGAGAGAAATGCTCTCAAATATGTGCTAACTATTTAGAGATACTCAGATTGGATTAGGTAAAAAWCACAATAAAAATTTAGAAAGTATATAAAATGTTATATACAAGAAGTTGGAACTTACCTGAATAAGAATCCCAACTCTAGAGGGTTTATTTTTTATGTTTTTAATTTCCCTGGGGTGCACGTGTGTTTGTTCATGTAAGTCTATAAAGTCATAAAAAAAACTTTAATGAAATCCCATTCTTAATACTGGCAGTTATATATTGACCAAAGAAAACGAAAATTATTTGGCAAATCCAGAATGACTCTTCCATTCTACCAATATAGGTGAATTAGGAGCCATTAAAAGTGCATATGCATATCCACTTGTCTGAGTTAGGTGCATATATTATGCACATTTGATTATAGAATGCATTTCTAAATTTCTTTTACTAACTATCCTCACAATCTTTGYGTAAAATCACAGAGCCAAAATGAAATATTCAGGTAATCCACAAAACTGAATTGAAGTTTGAACTATAAAAGACATTTAGTTTTACACCATAGGCCATCAGCATGAATCGATTAACAGACTTTTTTTAATCTAAGAGTTTAGCAAAAAGTAAATTAGAAATAACAGAGCTGCTTCATGCTTAGTTATCTAGTTCTAAATTTAGAGTGCCTGATTAATATTGACAGCAGAATAGGTAGAAAGGAGATTTCCTGATGTAAAGCATCCTCCAAATTGAYGTTAGTTTGCCTTACACATATTTCAAATTCTTTGTCACAAAACATTTTGCATGAATAGGATTCCYTTGACCGGGCTTCTGTTACCTGATTTTAAACAATTAAAGACAGCCTTTTTCTAATGTCCATCTCTAGATCAAACATTCCTTCTCCAGTGCATGTGTTTCAAATGTTAATAAAATTTTCATTTCCAAAAGGTTCAAAATGACAGGACAAAATTCTGTCCTTTAGGAGCACAAAAACAACTTGTGTTTCTGTCTGCAGGTAGTGGAGGACATGCTAGAGGACGAGGAAGAAGAAGATGACAAAGATGACAAGGTAATTATCTTTCCCAGCACTTGGGTACCTGGGGATGGGGAAATGTAGACATGACACTGTTTTCACAGACAGTTAAAAAAGGAGTTGAAGTGTTTGAGTCCAGAAAATTGGACAGTGCTGTTTATCATCCTAACAATGCCACTGCATGTTGCAAAGAGGGAGAGAGGGCTATAAATCCTCTTCGCTTTTGTCCAGAGCTGGGTCAAATATTTTTCTGCAAGGAACAAAAAAAAATAAAATAAAATAATTCAGCTTGTCTGGAACTTGATAGCTCTCGTGAAGATAACGGCAGTGACAACTGTTTTTGAAGGGCAAAAATTTGTCCTATCTTGAGTATTACAAATGGTTCTATGCTTTGGGGGAAGAGGGGAGTGAAAAAATCAGCAGCCTTGCATGAGTTGAGCATAGATATTGCCGTCTGTAATTTTCAAAGAATTGCTCAGCAAAAGAACACGTGTGTGGAGCACTCAAGAGGACATTTAAATAACCCTGGTGTCCAGTGGCCTTGTCTAGATTTGGAATGACCCCACGGCTCCTCCATCAGGGAAGTCCATTCAGGCTGAGGCTCCTACTTCAATTGCTGGTGGGCTTGGGGAGKCTGACTACAGTAAATAACAGCTAGTTTCTGGGACTGCTTGGATTGGTTGTCCCCTGGGGAGAAGGGACAGCTAGGGGGAAKAATTAGAATGACCTTGCACCACTGCAGCTGTGGCTGGTATTGGAAGAACAGCTTTCTATGGCCATTTGTTACATCATGACCTCTGTGATTTCTATACCTAAAACCTACAAAGTCTTAAGGTGAAATCAGAGGCAGGGAGAGAATATCATTATTTCTTTGCACATTKTTTGGCAAATAAAGCCAGATTTTGACCTTCACCAGAATCTGACTTCTGTTATAGTAAAGCAATGAAATTTTTTGAAGGAGRAAAACAATGTATCTCAATTTATGCCCTTGACCTTTGGTTCCAATAGAGATATACAGGTATGTCCTCAAGTATTTGTTTTGGAAGCAAGCACTAGAGGTGTCCAAAAAAAAAAAAAAAATCACAGCGATTAGTTAACCTCACAAATGACTCTTTTCCTGAATAATATTCAGTGCTTAAAGAAAATAAACATACACATGCGGGCTTTTCCCCTCTTCTCCCTTCTAATGTTATTTCAAACATTTTTGACAGAGCTTTTATGTGAAATTTTTCTTCTGTACATCATTCRGTTATTAGCAACATCATCAAACATAAACTAACAAAATCTTCTTCCTGCAAAAAACACATATGTGCTTGTTTTTAATGTTAAATAACATGAGCATACACTTCTGGCAATAAATGATATGATTTATTGTTAAGGTCAGTTGTGGAGCTGTAGAGAGATTGTATTTTAACTCAACATGCCAGCTCTGAATCATCATTTCTCTGCTGATAAACACTGAGCTGCCATCCATTTATGGCCATTTCCCCTTGCTTGTTGCTGCTTTATTATTAAAGCCACCATAAAGATCCATCCCAGCAGCAGGCGTTTCCCCAGAAATGTTAATAAATGGAAACCCTTGGTGAAGTCTAGTACTTCAATGTCCCTGCTTGAAGTCACCCTATATATTTTTAGCCAGCTTGTTGATATTCTACACCTCTAATCTTTCCTTTTTATGGTCATTTTTTTTTTCAACAGAGAGGATGTTAGGCTTGGGAAACAAATACACACCTAGTTAACCAGCTCACCAAAACATAGATGTCAAGTGGAACATGCGAGTGGGGAAACAACTCCAAATCTCTGGAGTAGCATCTATCGTAATCTAGTATATGGTTGTCTGGAATTGACACCCTGGTTCTAACACATTTTCAGATCTAGTTACCAAAGTTGATTGAAAGTGAGTGCTTAGATTACTGCATGAATTCAGCTGTATTCTTCTGTACCGGGTGCCAATACACAGGGTGTTTTCCTTCTGAAAAAAAAAAAATGTGAGCTGATTTTTTTTTCCTAAATGTATTCCTTATTTGGACATCATATAGGTTTTCTTTTCCTCAACCATAATTCAATATCAACATTAAAATTTTATTTCAAAAATATCAAATGTAGTAATTATAGTAGATGTTTAAGCTCTTGCATAATTGAGGAAAGAATCCTAGAGTGGAYATCCTGAAATGTAAAGTTTTTGTACCATAAGAAATGAAAACGTGAAAGGATCCTGCAAGTTTCCATTTACTGGCTTCCATCCCTTGACTGGCTCTCACAGCCCTGCATTGTTAAGTCTTGGCTATCCGTGTGTCTGAATGGGAGAAGGGTAATTTCCTACTTTAAAAAATTCATTGGTTCCTCTATTTAAAGTTTGTGTATAGAGTCATGCGTAATGGAATTTCATAAGAAAACAAATGTGTTTTTCACCATACGAACAGGTACTGACCTCTAGCTCTCATTATTTCTCTGTTTTCTCATATGGTATAATAGTGGGGTCAGGTCAGTGGGTCCTCTTATAGGATAAAAGTAAAAAAGATTAATAAATGTGCCAAAGCCTCATGTTAATTGAACCTGAAGCATATGTTGCAAGTATGTAAAATATGTCCCAGATGTTTCAGCAGGGCTAGTGTCTTGGCTTCCCTGATTACCACGAGGCAGCTATTAGTCCTATAACCTTTGGACTTGGGGGTAAATGGGGTATTACGTGGCACAGAATGAGAGCACCTGTTTTCCATTCAGCAAAGACCCCTGGCAGGCTTTGCCTAAGCCAATCCATATGTTTTCACTTAGCAGATTGTTGGGCGATTATGAAAAGTGTCTTTCTTTAGAGCCAGCATTGATATTAGTCACTCACAATGAAAGGCGAGTCATTGGCTACTTGACAAGGTTCATGCGGGCATAAACTGAAGTCCTTTATCTCATTTGAGCTTCGAGTATTTTCCCTCAGCATAATTATATACATGGCAAAGACACAGGTATAAGAAGTTGAAGCAAAGATTACAATTACTTCACATAATTGCTTTGTAATAGCTTTTCTTCAGTGCTGACTTTAGCACCTGGGAAAGCTTTGGTTGAAGTTGGTTAAAGCTAACTTGTGATTTACCTGCATCTCCATGTTTTGAAATTTTTCTAGATTATGACCTTTTAAGTATTTTTCCTTGAATTCTTCCTTTTTATTAAAAGATCTCATCATTATTCAGATGGCCACACACTTATTCTTCATTCTAAAATCCACTATCCACATTTGTTTGAATCTAAAATTAGGTGGCTTCTCTCTTAATCCAATTTCACATTTTTAACAAAGAGAATATGGGTTTTAAATGGTGAGTCTTAGTTATGAAGCATTGACTTGTTAATATTTTCACTTATCTGCATCATACATAACATAGTACATTAGCTCTACGTTAAGCCGTGCTGGAGATGACAATTTTTTTTCTGAATTAAATGTTAGAAAGACATCATACTGTGTATTCAGTTCCCTTTGTAACAGAGTGTTCTCTCAGTCAAAACAACAAAGCCTCAGTTTGATGTGATTTTTGACCTGACACCAAATCTTGCCTTTGTGGTTAACAGAATATCTAAGAAAATAAGGCTGAACTAAATTACCTAGGTGGAGTTAAGAACAGTCATGTAATAGTGTTTTTCTCCACATTATATGTAATAATACAGTGCTCATTCTGCATAATCTAGACCTCTAATTAACGAAGATCTGCCTTCTGTAGTTTAAAAAGTTTAGGCATGCTTCCCATGTGCATCCTACCCTTGTAATAGGATCCAGCTGCAACATCAGGAAGAGAAGACAGAATGCAGGTTTCCCTCAGGAAAAGCATGAATTCAAATGCATGGCATTCTAGTAATGTTTATTGATAAAAGATATTAAAATGTTCAGGCATTTATGCTTACATTGCTTCTCCTTTTTTTCAACGGTTATGTCAAGGTTACTATGTTTCAAGATAACTAGATGCAATGAATGAAACACATCTGAGTTCCTTCAAAATATACAGATYGTTTGCTTTGATTCTTGAAGTCTGTGTTTTCTGGTTTGATTCTCCAGCCGAAACATGTATATAATGTACCCAACATTCATACATCTCTGCATCTTAAATCAACTGTGGGGTTGGGGGAGAAAGAGATAATTCTAAGTGATATGAGAGAAGATTTTAATCTGACAAAATTGCATTTTACAGTTATATTCAGTGAAAAAAAGATGCATGATAGGGAAATGGATCAAGGCTTTGGAGAAAGGCAGAAAGAGAGCAAACAAGAAAAACAGTACTTCCTAAAAAATTTTTAAATTATATTTAACTGGAATACTATTTGTTTATCCATTTTTCTATAGCTGCATAAAAACTGAGCACAACTTAGAGGTGYAAAGCAACACTTATATTTTTAAGATCTTGGTTCAGTAGGTCAGAAGTGCAGGCACAGCCAACTGGGCTCTCTGCTGAAGCTTTCCCCCTTAAAATATGACAGAATGAGTCCTTATTGGAGAAAATTCACTTCCAAACTCATTTAGGTTGTTAGTAGCATTCAGTAGAAAAACTAAAGCCCTTGATTTCTGCTCCTAGCCAATTTCTGTGGGATCTTCTGTCTTTAAATTTAATTTATCTTTGTTGAGTTGAATCTCTCCCATGCTTCAACTCTCCTTCAAGAAGATGCTAGCTCACCAGATTAGACCAGACCCCAGTRATAACCTCCCTTTCTCTCTTTCTTAAAGACAGCTATGCTGTGGAACATAATCATGGGAGTAACTGTCCCATTGTACCCACTATACTCCTAAACCCATCCCCAAACATAAGAATAGGGGATTATACATGACTTATAGACTAAGAGGTGGGAATCTTGGTCTCCACCTTAGAATTCTGTCTACCACAACCATATAGACCCTCCCATGCTGTAGGGTGAAAATGGAACCATCTGTGTTCCTTGGACGTATGGTTGCTGTGTCACAACCTTCTTACAGTAAACAAAAGAGGAAAGCCAATCTGCCTAAACATGTTCTTTTATTGGATAGAAGCATCTCATTGCAGAGAGATAAGCTGAAGTGCACA